GACAAAACTAAACAAAAAAAAGGGGACAGTTTTATTAAAACTTATTATCTGAGTAAAGATTACCAAGTATAGGTTAAATTTGTAATTAGTTCTACAATCTTTTTTAAAATGTATTTGGTACAGGGTCTACAGGGTCTCACTACACAGACTTGTAGTGATCCTCCTGTTTTCAGCCTCCCAAGCACTGGGATTACAGGCACACCACCATGTCCAGTCTCAGTCACCATCTCAGCATGCCCCAGGGGCAGGGCTGGCATGGCACACCAGGGATCGAACCCAGGTCCCTGCACCTGCCTAAGCAGGTGCTTTAGTCCCTTGAGCTATGTGACTGGCCCCTAGTTCTATGATCTTGCAATAAATGAAAACTGAAACAAACAAACAAAAAAGATGACCACAAGTTCCCTTTTGCTCTCTCCATTGAGAGATGGAGTTCATATTCCCTTTACTTGAACCGGAGCAGGCCCTATGACACTTACCACATAATGTAGCAGAACTCTTTGTAACATCCCCTCACCTCATCTTCCAAAGCACTTGCACTTTCTTTCTCCGGAAATGCTCACTCATAGGATAATCTCTCTAAAAACCTAGTCACCAGGGACTGAGATGTCCAAGCCAGATGGAGAGGGCACAGGAAAGAACTCCAGTCAACAGTTCCAGCCAAGCTCTCAGCTCTCAGCTAACAGCAAACACCAACTGCCAGCCAAACAAAGGAGCCATTTTGGACATTTCAGCTGCCAACATTGGTTGGCAGTTGTATGGAAACAAAACATAAACTATAGTTCATTGGTCTAAGGTTCCAAAGGTAGAAAACGTCAGAATTGTAATACTAAGTCAGATGCTCTAATGAGCTTACAGAGGTTTTTAAATTCTTTTTTCTTTGCTGTTAAAAACAGAATAAGCCTAAATTCAGAATGTCCATTTGTGGAATTTCTACCCAGGAAGCCAGCTGGGCAGGTAAATCATATATTTCACTCATTTGTTACCACATTTCAAAAGCTCTATATGCCAAACAACTACGCAAAATGCACTGCTTGTTCGCAGGGATTTTTAAAAATTTACTTATTTATTTGGTAGCCAGCTCAACCTGCCCTGGGGGCAGTGCTGGTGTGGCATATGGTGTTGGGCATCGAACTGCAGTCTTGCCTAAGCAGGTGCTTTAGACAGCTGAGCTACCTCGCTGGCCCTCTCAGGGATCTTGAGGTCTAATCAATAGGCCACCTCATAAACAGCTCATTTCAATAAGAACTCTCAATAGCACGGTGGGCTTAATGGATTGTACTTCTGGAAGCCATGGCCAGGCACTAGCCTAGCCTGAGGCATGAAATAGGTCTATTTTTTTTGGGGGGGGGGGAAGGGTATCTCTGAATTTGTGCTGAGGAGGTTGAAGAATATGTTTTCAAGGAGTACCATTATTCATCAGGATAAATGTGACAGAAATGGGAGACAGGCAGAGAAGAACTCAAATATTTGGCTAAGAAACATAAATTCCAATCTTCACATCACCCTTCAATTCACACGTATTCCTGATCAAGTAACTGAATCTCTTCATTTCTTAGTCTGTAAATCTAAGACAGGATCACAGTATTTGTTATCTACTTAAGAGTTTCTTTCTCAGGGGCTGGGAAGATAGCTCAGTGGTTTAAGCACCTGCTTACAAGTGCAAGGACCTGAGTTCAATCCCTGGCACTGCATCCTGCGCCTGTCTTGAAACCCCCGGCACACAGTACCAGCCACTGAAACTGGGTGTGGTGGAACACACTGTAACTCCAGCACTGAGGAAGATGAGACAGGAGAATCACTATGAGCCCCAGTTGCATAGTGAGACCCTGTACCAAATAAATTAATAATTTTTTTAAAGTTTCTCTCTCTGAAACCCTGTCTTTATATCTGATGCTCCTTAGGTTGGTCCTCAGTTTATTGCTCACTCCACAAATGCTACCTAAATGATCCCTTGCTTTTGTTGTTATTCATGACAGTGAAGCCCCTAAATACCTAGCCTAAATCCTTTTGAGGGCTCTCTCCCAAAGCATTTGTCTATTTGTTTCACATCACTGGATGTTCCACAGGTACCTGGAGTTCAAAATGTGAAGACTTCTTGTCATGGCTTGTATCTAGATGTCCCTCCAACACCTCATGTGAGCGTATGGTGGGCTTTCTGGAGGTGGCTAGATCCAGTGTGTGTGATGCTGGGATCACAGATGTGATGCTGGGATTAAGAGTGTGAGTGGACAAAAAAAAAAAAAGTGTGCGTGCTATCCATCCTAAGAGACAGAAAGAGGGCTGGAGTACCCATTGTAGGTCTCTTGCTTGCTACCTTCTGCCTGCCCTGCTTTGCCATGAACTCTTCTCCTCTGCAAAACCCTTCTGCCATGCCAGCCTGCCTTGGAGTCAGTCATTTATGAACTGAAACCTCTATAAACTATGAGTTAAATACCCTTTCTCTTAACTTATGGGTGTTGGGTATTGTGGAGGCCCACACCTGAGCAGCTCTCCTCAAAAGAAGAGCAATTGTCTCCATTTTGGCTGAGTCTGACCCTATTTCCTTATGTTGATATGTGCAGAGCTGGCTAGGACTTCTCTTTACCCTTTCAATTGGTCTTAAGCAATGTATATTGGTCTAGCAGAGGTGCTGGAGGTAATTTTGGAAGATGGCATGGGTGTTCCTGTCTAATATGAGTTGGGTTGAGACAGGATGAAGAGTCAGTGCTCCACGCTGTCGGCTGGGATTGAACCTTGAGATAGAGGCTATGACTTCCTGGGGCTTGAAAGATTACACATCAGAGCTGAAGCACCAGACCCTCAAAACATTAGATACTATCTCAATAGCATAATGCAAACTACTGTGTCTGCATATGACAGAGGTAAATGCAGACCGCTCACTTAGCCCAGCTTACAGTAATCACCTACTTCCCACAATTCTCTTCCTCAAGCCACTCCTCCTTTCCAGCTGAATAAAACCTAGGTGTGGCCAGGCGTCAGTCTCTTTGTCCCAGAAAGCCATCTTGGTGGCTGGACTTAGGGCCCCTTGGCTCCCCAACAATCATACATATGTTTCAGTGTCTTACTTTTGCCATGGGTTGCACTGAGAGTCGTAGATTGGAATTAACTTGGTGGGATTCCAATAACCTATCTTTGGAATTACAAATATTGACTTCTTGGACTGAGATGAGAACCTGGAGGGGACTCCTATAGGGCATTGTCTCAACAAAGAGAAAAAGTAACTAAGACAACTTTCTATGTACTAACACTTAACTGGTCTCTCCCTTGAGAATTAAGATTCAATACTGCTGCCCAAGCTAGTGATTTATAAGATTAACCTGATTCTTTTCCCTCAACCTCACATGCAACAGAGGGTCAAATGCTGTTAATTTTTCATCCTAAATACTTCTGGAACTTATTCTTTTGTATATATATAAAAAAAAACCCTCAAATTCAAAATATTTAAAGCTTAACTGCATGCTTCTCCCTCTCCAATTTGTTCTCCTAGCTGTGTGTTCTTCTAGGATAATGTCCCCATCACTCAGTTGCCTCTTATAACCACACCATCACCAATTCCTGATATATGGCTGCCTCTTTAATATACCCACTTCTCTCCATTCATGCTATTTAATTTCCTGCAGTACTTTCATCAGTTTTCCTGCCTTCTATCCTTATTCCTTCTGACCTCTTCTCTACAATGCAGCTGAACTTCCCATCTCCATCCACATTTTCTAATTCTTTGATTCGTAATGTTTAGTCCCCTAGTCTGTGAAATCTAGGAGTGATAATCCATTTGTCCTTGCCTCTTCTGTGCCCGACATAGTACCCCTGGCAATAATAGATGCTCAACAAATAATGTATGAACCTATGCTCACTCCCTTTATAGGTCACCTATAGAAAGTTAAGTCTGCGACATGCCCTGGATCCTGACTATCTGTAGAGGCACAGAGCAACATGATAGGACTCATGCTCCTATGAGCTGCAGTGCTTAACTGAGGGCTCTCAGAAATCTGGCACACAAGGGCCGGCCAGTTAGCTCAGCAGACTAAAGCACCTGCTTAGGCAGACGCAAGGGCTGGGGCTCAATCCCCAGCGCGCTGTGCTGGTCCTGCCCTTGGGGCACACTAAGCAGGCAATTGAGACTGGGCATGGTGGCACGCACCTGTAATCCCCGTGCTTGAGAGGCTGAATACAGGAGGATCACCAGGAGTCTGATCTGTGTAGTGAGATCCTACAGACCCCGTACTAAATACACACACACACACACACACACACACACAAAAGAAAGAAAGAAAGAAAAGGAAACCTGGCACACGTAACAGGATAAAAGAATTGTGTTGTCAGTACATAAAAGGATGTAAGTCTCAAGACACCTTTCGTCATAGTATCTTAAAGCTAAAACCTTATGGTTTGTTTCTCTGGTGTGAGAAACCAAAAGTGTAAACAAGGATCTGAATGTATAATAGCTATTGGTGAAAATGGAAAAGAGGACACACCCCCCCCAAAAAAAAAAAATATATATATATACACACACATATATGGGAAAAACGAACACAAAGCTTTTATAAATCAAGAGGGAAAGAGGGGGTGAGGAGGGGAGAGCAATAGGAAAAGGAGCAAGAGAGACCATGTACAAGTCTCTATGATCAATGTTATCGAGTCTAAAAATGTACCAATAAAAAAAAAGGAACCCTCACGAGTCCTGGCACATATCCTCGCCTTTCGCAGATCCGTAACAGAAGCACGTTTGGACGGACGAAGCCCCGCCGCCCCGCCGAGCTCGAGCAGCCAGGTCGCGCTGCAGCCCGGGGGCCGTGCGCATGCGCGGGGGCGGCGCGGCCCTTCCGGCGGCCGGGGAGGCGGGGCCGGGCGACTCCCGCGGTTTGGCCCGCCATTGGCGGGCGGTTTGAATGACGGAAGTGACGCGGCCTCGGCGCTGGCCGTCGCGCAGGCGCACGAACGGTTGCTGGGGATCGCGTCTGTGGGGTCCGCTGGCTCCTTTCTCGCGTGTGCGGCTGCAGAGCGCGGCTTCCTGGTGCCCGGGTGAGTGCCGGGTGCGGCGGCTCCCGGAGGCCCAGGAACTGGGAGTGTGCCCCGGGGAGGTGGGGCCCGGCCTTGGGACCCGCCCGCCGCGAGCGGCGGCTCGCGGGCTGCCCCTGCGGGCCCGGCCCTGAGCGCCCACGCCGGGCGCGTGGTGCTCGCCGCTGCAGACGCGAGCCCGAGGTCACCCGAGAAGGCGGCCGGCACCCCGTCGTCTCTGAGGAGCCCTTCCTGGGGTCGCTCCTGCGCAGAGCGCGCTCTCCTGGGCCCGCCGCGGTTCATTGCTCAGGTATTGAGTTCTTTCACCACTCACCTTTTAGACGCGACCATCACGCGGGTCTTTAACATTTAAAGTGCGTTTGGTGGTGTCGTTACGATTGAGTTACATAACCAGAACACTCTTGGGGTAGGTACTACTTGCCTTATGCAGGTTAAGAAAACGAGACCAGAGTGACTCGTGTGACTTGGCCAGTTTCTTCCTGCCAGGGCAGTGTTGGGTCTTGAACGCACTTTGTCTGAGCCGAGTGTTAATTTTGGGATAACCATGTGTCACGTGTCGTTTCATCAGCGTCTTGCAAGATGTAGGGTGTCTATGTAGTAGAGGAGCGTGGACTTTTAACAGCCCACATCTATAAGGAATAAGTAATTTAGTTAAGTGAGGCAGCAGAGGAAACTAGTCAAGTAGTTTTCCTAATAATAGGTGTAGAAGGACTAACAAATACAAAATCACACTTGGTACACAACACAGCAGTCAGACAGCAGCTGTCGGTAGATACTAAATGGGCAAAAGTTTGAGGAGTGCATGGAGTTTGTGTTGCTTGTACATACCATCCAGCACAGGCCGGCGAGACAGCTCAGTGGAATGCACAAGGTCCTGAGTTCGATCCCTGGTACCACAAAAAAATAAATAAAATCCATCCAGCGCATACTTATAAAGGGAGAGGTAGCTGCCATAGAGAAGGCTGATTGGATACTGTCTTAAGCAAGTGAACAAATTATCACCAGTAGTAGACATACTGGCATACACCATTTACCTCTTGACATGATGCTAACCTCAGCCTAGTATAGGAAAAGATTAGATCCACTGAAATTGATCTAAGTTCAAAGTAGACAAATGCAATTGTGTTGGACAGAAGAATTGGCCTTTTTAAAGCATCAGGGTCTTGAAGTGAAAGACCGAGAAACTGTCCTGTCTTAGAAGGGATTGATTTACTGCATTCAGCAATCTGTTTACATGCAGAAAGGTTATATAGGCATTCTAAGCTTAACACTTTTCCTTTTATGTTGAGATATGATCTGGAATAAAATACACATACGTACTATTTGAGGAATTTTTTTACATATGTATACACCTGTTTAATCATCATAAGATCCAAATACAGTGTATAGTATTTTCAGCGCCCCACCAGGGTTCTTTGTACACGTGACCTAGTCAGTAACCTTCTAAAAGATAAGCCTTCTCATGCATTGTCTTTAGTCCATTGTTTTCGAGCTTCCTATAAATGAACTTTCATTGCGTTGTTTTTTGAGCCCAGCTTTTATTTCATCCTGTGATCTGGGACCCATCGTTAGTTTGAATAGATCCTGAGTGAATTTTCAAAGACCTTCACACAAATTAGTAAAGGTACATTGTGAATCTTCCTCATTTTTCTTCTTCTAGTCCCTATTTTTCGGTCCTCACTTCATAAAAAACATTTTTTTCTGTTTGTATGTTTTAGCATGTCAGAAGTTAGAAGCCATTTGAAATAAAGAAACTGGATTTTTCCCTTGCCTTTGCCAATAGATATTGTCACTTTAGACAATTCCTTTAACCCAAGAGGACTTTGTTCATGTTTAAAATATGATACAAGCTCAGGGACTGGAGTTTGATCCCAGGTACCATATGCTGTGCTGGCCCCACCCCTGGGAGCACTGAGCTGGCCACAGAGACAGGTTTGGTGGCTTGTAATCCCAGTGCTGGGGAGGCTGAAAACAGGAGGAGCACTGCGAATCCAAGCTGCGTAGTGAGACCCTGTACCAAATACATTAAAAAATAATAAGTAAAATATATACAGTTATCACTTTACCATTATCAAAATGTTGTATCTAATTAATAGGATGTATAGAAAAAGTTCATTAAATCAAATAGTTACTCTGTTTTAACATCTGAGTCCTGGTAAAGCTTTACATGAATTAACTCACTAAATGTGTCATTCAGTCCGTCAGCGCATGGAACTACCTACATAGGTCTGACACACCTTAGAATTTGGATATGTAACTGAATGAGATCATACTTTTTTTCACTAAAACTACATTTTGATGGAATATTCACTAGGACAATATGAGTTCCTATTAGGTAACCCCATAGTCTTTTAGTCCTTTCTCTTTTCATCTGATTAAAAATAATACGTTGGCCACATGTGGTGGCACACTTGGGAGATGAGGCAGGAGGATTACCACGAGTTTGAGGCCAGCCTGAGCTAGGTAGCAAGGCCCTCTCTCAAAGAAAAGTACCTATTAACAACTATAAAACAATTCTTACTATAGTTACGTAAGTAATACATTTTAGAAAACCATAGCTACCATTCAATAGTTAGAAGTCTATCTACAGAGAACAAGCTATAATTGAAAAGCTAGTGGAGGTAGTACCAAGACAGCACATTATCTGTCCCCATGTGAATGGACAGTACCTTATAGGTAGGCAAGTCAGGGATGATTGTGTAGAACAGGAGCTGCTAGAGGACAGCTTCATGAAAGCAGTGTGGCTTAAGGTAACTTCACAAAGTTCTAAGTATCAAGGAACCAAGTTTACATGCCTGATCACTGTAAAAGACCTGAGAGGTACTGACTTGTCTCAGGTAAAATTGTGATTGTATTTTGACATGAAGTGTTTAATCTTTTTATCAGATGATAACAGAAACAGGTGATACCAGAATCACACAAGAAACATTTTCAAAGTATACAAATGCTAGTTTCCTGTATTCTTTCCATTCCTCCCTACCATACTCCCTCAGGTGGGGTCATGTTAAAATCTAATGTAAAAGTAGCAATAGAATAAATTGGGAATCCCAACACTTGGTATATCCAAACAAAAATTATTTTAGAAAAGTTTTTAAAAATGGCCTTACAGGGGCCTGAGGAGATAGCTCAGTAGAATAAGTGCTTGCCTGGCAAGTGCAGGGTCCTGAGTTCAATCCCTGGTACTGCAAATAAAATAAAAATAAAAATGGCCATACCTTTAAAAAAATCAAACAATTAGGGTTACCGAAGAATTACCGACTATAATGTATAGCCTGTGGCATTGATAGGATTTCATGAATTATGATGATTGGTGATCAAGTTATATGCCACAGACTGGAAATGAAGTCAGGAGCCTAGGAAGGTAATGAGCAGGTTGTGTCGTAGTGCTAAACTGTTAAGTTGTAGTTGTGAAAGCATTCTATGCCAATTCATGTTTTTAAGATTTTATGCTTATTTACATTTAGGAGTGGAAACTGGAATTGCCAGTTAGTAATAGGTCAGGTCCAAAATACTACTGGTAAACATTCTCCTGCAGTCCAGGGGCAAAGTTCCCTTCAAGAAATTCTGCTCTGCTCTTTACTACCTGTTTCCTACTCGAGAACCACTGATCAAATTGCTAAATTTATAGTACCTCTGTGTAAATAAGTCAGATTTTGGACTGTATTTGCATGTCTATAGACTTTAAATTCAAAAATAGTAATATAAACTTTTAAAATTTTAATCGTTGCTACTCTGTTTCAATGGTACATATCTTTATAGACAGTTTTCTTTTTTTTACGTTTCAGATCCATTTTATGTAAAGTACACAGAATGAAAAGAAAGGTGGTGAATGCTGGCAAGCTGAGATTGAGTCCTAATGAGGAAGCCTTTGTTTTGAGAGAAGATTATGAAAGAAGACGAAAACTAAGATTGCTGCAGGTGTGGTCTATTTGGAGTAAAGTTTTCACTGTCTCTCCCACATCACTTAATATGAAAAGAATTAGAATGCTCTAAATAGAATGTTTCATTTAAAAATCTTATGTGAGGGGCTGGGAAGATAGCTCAGTAGAATAAATGCTTCCTTGGCAAGCACAGGGTCCTGAGTTCAATCCCTGGTACTGCAAAAACAAAACAAAAAACCCTTATGTGACTGTATAAGAACCCTGGTTTTCTTTTGTCTTATTTTTTGAGCCCTGGTTTTACATATTGTCTAGCTTTAGAACATTTGAAGAAAAGATTGAGATGGTAATTAGGTTGGAAGAGAATGGAAGATAGGCATTATTTCACTGTAGCTCTTTAAATATTTTTAAGTGACCTGTAATACATGATATAGATTAGGAAGTTTAGAATGACTTTGAAGGAGAGTTCTGGGAAAGATTATTGGCTTCTGAGACAGATTTACTAGGAAGTTGTAGTTATTTTCTGACAGTCTTGAATAAGAGAGTTAAGTCTTTGTGTGCCACGTGTTTTAGGTGTTGTTCTGTCTAGAACTAAAGAGTGTACAACAGAAATGGGATTCACATCTGGCCCTATCAGTACTCCTCTGAGTTACGCATTTGTTAAATTATGTTTACCATTTGAGCATTTTATACAGTATTATGGTGACACAGTGTCATTAGGAATTTAAGGGAACAGAAAAATTAAAGTAGATTTGCACTTTGGGGATTTTTTTTTTTTCTTTTTTTTTTTTTTTTTTAGGAGAGTAACAATGGTTAGTACATTGTGTATTGTTACTGCCATAGTAGTTTCTCATATTACAAGATATAGGCAAGAAATAATAAAAAACATAGGTACGAACCTCTGTTTTTGTTTTTTTTTTAAGTCAACAGAAAATGGAAATATACTTTTTAAAGTTTCTAATACTAGGAGAAGATATCATACAATGTCTTTTAAATAAATTGTAAGTCAAAGATACA